ACATGTGCCCTAAAGGAAACTACAGCCATTTAATTTGTTAAGTATACATTGGGATCATATCATGTCAAAAGATGATACGATCAGACATTTCACAGAACATGCTGGCAAATAAGCACAAAAAATATTCTCAGCTTCATTAATCATTATGGAAATTCAGATTAAAACCAATATGAAGTGTCACCTATCAGAATAGCTAAAATAAAATAAAATAAATAGTGACATCAACAACTACTGACAAGAATGTGGAGAAACTGGAGTATATAACTGGCAATTGGGACTGTAGGGAAGGAACAACAACCAGTCCTGGAGATTCATAAGCTGAATGTCCTTTTGTACTCTCAACTCCCTCAGCAATGCAAACCATCACACATAAGTGGTAGTACACAATTATCAAAATTAAAATTACAAAATCATGATTAGAAGCATGTGGGCTTCAAAAGAACATTGGTCCGTGGTACATGCCTTCTCATTCTTTCTGATCTTCAAGAATTATAACACACACACACACACCCCTTACACATACTCACACATTCACATACCCATACATATATATCATCTGAGGACATATATTAATCCTCACTAATGATATATCCCACAGTCATATGTTTTTTTAAAGAAACATTTTCTCAAAACAGTATTATCTACTCTGAATATTTCACTCACAGTGAAAAAATTGTTTTACACTACAATGTGAATGGCGTCGGTACTCAGTTCATCCTTCTGCTTCTAACCCATACCCAAATTCTTTTCTGTGCATAAGAAATGAACAGCTCATTACAACTACTCTTTCAAGCAACAGAACAGTCTTTAGCCATTTTTGGTAAAACTAAGTACTAGGAAAGCTTCAATTTTAATCTCTCAAAAGCTTAAGAATTGTGTTGTGTTTTATCATAGGGCTGATTCAATTCTTAGGTAAGATTTTCCCAGTCCATTTACTGTGGATGTAATAGAGTCTGAATGACGATATTAGAGAAACCTATGAACTGGGAAATGGTGGCAAGTTCATTCTTCCTGTAATAGTATATATGTAGTAGTTTGACTTCACATTCTTACTAGTTGATTATGAGATCCTTTTAAGCAGGAAATATGTCTGATCTGAGGTCTTGAGAATATTTTTCACAGTAACCTAGAAATAAGCATATTTTCTAAAATAAAATATCTGCTCTCACCATCTGATTAAGAAATTAGTCTCACACATTTCTAAAAATATACTTATAATCTTAGTGAAAATATGGCCATTAAATGGTAATTGAATGTCTTTTCTTTCACTGGCACATAAACTTCTTCCTAATTTCACTTTAATTAGATATTGGGGAAAAGTTTAGGTAAGAAAGTAAAAGTGGTTAAAGTAGATTGCCTTAACTAATAGGATAGATTGATTGTAATAAAATAGAACCCAGTTCCCTGACTATTGTATGCAGAGTTTCAAGTTATTCTCTGCAATAAAAGAGCATATTAATGTGGTCTGTGAGGTTTCTTACAGATGATCTATGCGTTTTTACAACATACCAAGTGGATGCCTCTAATTGTTTGCCAACCATTCACCCCTCAACCACTTCCTGTATGGTTTTCTCCCACAACATTCCACTGAAACCACTTTGTCAGAAGTTATCAATGATGTGCATTCCAAAACCACCTTTTGAAATACCCACCCTACCCAGAACATTTAAAATGTCCCGGTAATTCTCTTATTTCTTTCCTTTCTTCTCTCTCCCTTTCATGGGATTTTCCTTCTCAAAAATCACAAAACATAGGGATTGAAAATTCTTCAGGGTCCCATCCTTGACTTTCTTCACGTGATCTAAGTACTTACCTCCTTCTTTTCTGTTCATTATCTGCCCAAATGACAACAATAATTATGCAAATGAACTTAAAATTATATCTCTGACTTCTCTCTTATTTAATGCTGACATTGTAAATACTGATTAAATATTACAACAGGCATTAGTATGTAGTGATCTGGAGAGTAGGAAGTGAAAATAAGCAGAGGCAAACTTTTACATATAGGAAGATAAGAAATATAGGAAAACATATGAAACAAGAAAGGAACTGATAAATTCCATGAAAGAAAGAGTTCTATATAGTCAAGAATATTTTGCTGTGCTGCTCTATGGTAAAAATTGATTATATCAGATCCATATAATTGGCTCTCTCAGTTTATAAGAAGAACATGTGTTAGTCAATGAGGCACCAGGAGATTTCAGATACATATGAGATAGAAGATATAAGGGTGGTAAGAGAGTTTGTTTTGTTACCTTTGTGGAGTTGAAAGGATGTTAGAGGTCAGAGAGTGAGATGATATGAAGAGTATTTAAGGTGATGGATAGAAAGGAACACATGCAACCTAGAAGCTCAGCACACTTGAGTATTATGTATGCCTGCAATTTCTCCTACTACTATGGTGGCAAATAAAAGTGACCTGAAGATACCCACATCACATTCATTGCCTTGTCTATTGCCATTGCAGGACATAAGGAAAACCTAGAGAGAGCAGATGAAAGCATCAATAACAAAGTGTCTAAACTCCTTTATATTACTCCACCTTCCTCCACTGGTACTAAATTAGCATTTAGTTCTTCTCCTTTACCACTGGTACTAGTTCTTCTCCTCTTACCACTGGAACCATTGTTATCTGCAAGGTCAACAGTCCTATCAGAAGTGCCAAAGCCAGTGTTAATCTACTGTCATGTAACCAAGTGGTAGCCCTAATAGCAGTTTCTGTGGCAGATAGTGTAATACAGCAGCTGTGATTGGAACTGCCACTCGGTAAACTTATAGTAATATATGCACCTACCGAGATTGATTTCATTTTTGCAAGATACATATAAGTGAACTGCATGGAAATATGTAAACCATCACCCCTCCATCCTCTAAGTGTTTGACAGTGGTATTAATCTCTGCAGTTCTTTCCATAATACAGGATGGGGCAAAAGTAGGCTTACAGTTGTTCATATGGAAAATAATACAATAAATAATAAGACAAAAATAAACTCCCTGTTCTACATGCTCATGGCTGTACACCTACTTTTTCTTCTGACTTCAAATTTTCCTCAGGGAATAGGTGTGGTTTACAGGGCTTACACTTGGCTCTTGATATCCCAACGGCTCTGATACCACAAGCCATATATACAGGTTTTCCCAGCTGCTAAGTATTTTCTCTCTTAATCATGCACATGAGAACCAAATAAGTAACCACAGGTCAGGTCCAAAGATACTTGTAATTATTGTTAAACTCCATAAGCTCCCATTTAACTAGAACCATGGTGGTGTTTCAGATTCCATGGCATCAGTGTCAGCTCAGACCTTCTAATAGCCCTAGAGATGTCTGGATTTTCCAATTCCTCCATGTTGAATTACCATGGAAATGGTTCCATTTTCCTTTGAAAAGTGCAGGGAAATTTGCTGTATAAATTGCATGTGGCATTGCAGGCTACTTTCTCAAAAGAACCATGTGTTTCAATCAATGAGTTCTGAATTTGAGAAGTGACTTTGATCTGGAAGTTGGGTGAGAAGCTACAATTTCCCATTAAAAGAGCCAATGTGAGCCTTCTGCCTACCATCTTTTTTTTTCCTTTCTGTTTCTCTCCCCTTGCCTATCTCATATCTAAGAACACCATGACCTTTTAGCTATTATAACAAATATCTGAAGGTCATGGCAACTTAATGGAAAGCTGATAATTATATCTATCTCACCTCTAGTGAATAAGTGCCTTGCCCTAGTCTTATTCACAGCAATAATAAAGAGCCCAGTTTAATAGCAATAATTGACACCATATACCACAACTTGTGATGTGCAGCTACCACCAGCCAAGCTTCTGAGAGATGTTGGTGCCCAGTCAGCAGGGCACTTCTTATAGAGTGTCTTACTGAATAGTAAGTACTGGCAAAAACCTGGGAAGCAGATGTGGGAGTAGAGATAGAGTTATTCAACAAGGGGTGGAACATAAGGCTGGATTGAGGAAAATTTATTGAATTGAAGAACTCACACAAATCTCACAATTTGATGATTTGGCAATGACAATGAAATCTATCATAGGAGATGGATGTTCAAGTCTTACATAGGAGATGAATGGTAAATCCATTCTAACATTCCCATCTCCCTGAATCTTCTGGAAGACGTCCACACCACCATATAAGGAAGTTCCAGACTTTTCTTCATACTTGCTCTTTCAAGCTTTAAGGAGCTAGTATAGGAAAATGTTTTAGGATAACTTATCCTAATAAAAGAGTAATATGCAAATTGACCATCACTCCAATACATAAGATGGCCACCCCATGTGGTCAAAGATGGTTGTTCCTGTGTGGACACAAGATGTCAGCCACAAAATGCCCAGCAGGGGAGGGCAGTTGTGGGCAATCAGGCCTGCAGGGGAGGACAGTGGGAGGGGACCAAGCTTAGAGGAGAGGGCAATTAGGGGAGATTAGTGACCGGGCCGGCAGGGGAGATTAGTTGGGGATAACCAGGTCTATAGAGGAGGGAAGTTGGTGATGACCAGGCCCACAGGGGAGGGCAGTTGGGGGTGACCAGGCCTGCAGGGGAGCAGTTAGGCATCAATCAGGCTGACCAAGGAATGGTTAGGGAGTGATCAGGCTGGTAGGCAGAAGCGGTTAGGGGAAATCAGGCAGATAGACAAGCAGTTGGGAGCCAGCAGTCTTGGATTATGAGAGGGATGTCCCAGTTTGAAGAGGGTGCAGGCTGGGCTGAGGGACACACACAGGTACACACATCATTCCCCATGCACAAATTTCATGCACTGGGCCTCTAATATATGGTTTACATGTGATATATTATATACTTAGGATATATTTAATGGTATATATTAGGATCTATTGCCTAAGGATGTGGAACTTGGATGAAGAGATTTAAGTAATGGGTTTGAGATAACTAGCATTGTGTACCCCAGGAAATATAGGTACATACCCACACACATATGAACATACACACAATCATACTCACACCAAGAAATTAACAGGATTCATCTGCATTACTCACAGATTTTAATGTTCAAATGAATTTAATAGTTTGGTAACGAGAGGCTGTACAAGATCAATTCAAAATTACAATGAATTAAAGAACTACCATTTTTTGGAGATTTGATTGTGTTAGGTATCATGAGTCTCTCAGATTAAGCCTTTAAAATGAATACTTTTACCAATTTTATTCATATTGTATGACTTATGACATATTTAGTTACATGAAGTAGAAGCCCATGCTGAGGATAATAACAGCATTTTATTAACCTCACATAACAAGAAGTGTGAAGGGAGGGAGTCTAGGTCCCTTTCTGTCATTTGGCTCCATCATGCTCACAGTGAAGCTTTTATCTTCATGCTTGTCGAATCATGGAGGCAAGATGGCATCTCCCTTTTACGTTGTGCTAGAGGCCAGAAAAACAGAAAGGAACAAAAAGAGTGTCTGTATTAGAAAAACAAAAAACATTCCCAGAAGTCTCTAGCAGACGCATACCTTTATTACATTGCCTAAACTTTTGTTACATGGTCATTCCTGACTGAAGCAGAGTCTGAGAAGGTGAGTATTTTATCTGGGATCATGGGCAAGCTGAAGAAAAAGGGGTTCTATCATTAAGGAGGTAGTGGAATACAACAGCTCTTGGGTAGGAGATTAGGGGTGTCTATGGATGCCTTGAATTAAAACCAGTATTTTTCAGCAAATTTTCAGAGTACTGCTGAGTATCAATAACTATTTATTATAATATTCTTGAGGGTTTTATTTTTTAATAGTCATTTGTTAATAATGAAATAATATACCATAAACATTTTATATACTTTATCCTACATAGTGAGAATGAGATCATTATAGGCTATTAATGGCTTTTGTTTACTAAAATATCCATACAAAATATGAAGTGTCTTTAGAGTCCATGCTATGACCATTACTAATCTCCTTTTGACATCTAAATTCTAAACCACATATCCTAAAATATGGAAATATTATTATCTGTTTCAAATAACATTTCCTTAATGCCCACATACTGATAGAATACTATGTTTTAGATGAGTTCTTTAAGCTAAACGTGGAACACTTATTTATAAGAAATTCTCTTGTGCTTTTTACATCTTTGATAGAGTTAATATCTAAAAGTCAGTATTTGACAAATCACTTTTTAAGATATTAAAAGTGTTATCCTTTAAAAAAAATGTTCTGCACTTACAAAAATATTTAATTGTATTTTATCTCCCACTAAAATGTAAATCTTATGTCCTCTACTTTCCCCCAAAACAGTCTTTAATGTTGATAATCAAGGTGGACAGATTTTTCAATGTCATTTAGATGGCAGGGGATGAACAGAGAGAGTAAAGATAGCATTATCTGTCCTAAAGTTCTAAGTGATACTCAAAGGTAAACATAATACCTTTTTGTGGACACAAATCTAATATTAATTCATATCTAAAGTAATATGATCTTACATATTTATATCTAATTTCAAATCCTCTGTGAACTTAATTAGAATCCATTCTGCCTCATCTTACACATATAATTGAATACATTTTTTCAAATCTAATTCTAGTCCTATTTATTTGAGTTGATTTGTGTTTTATAAACAGTCACATATAAGTATGATAGAGTGTCAAATACATCACATGACATGGGGTTTGGATAAAATATGACTATAAATTATAAAAACCCCATTTAGAATCTTGCATATAGCATTTTACCCATATCTGCTTATAGCTATAGAATTTACAAAGAATATATAGAAATAAAATTGAGAGAATAATCAAATAAGAATTTTTTAAAAAAAATTAAGAAAACTAAAAAATATGTTCCATCGATACATGCACATATATAGATAAATGTATATTTTTGGTTCATTATATATAGATGTGTAATAGATGTATATATATATATATATATATATATATATATATATATATATATATATGATACTGTGAAGGAAACAAATTGAGAAAATGAAATCATTAAATAACTTTTTTTTCTCATAACGTTCCTTAGAATATTCTCTATAAGGTAATTCTTTTCCTTCTTCTAGATAACATCTTGGTTGGTTCCCACAGCTCTCTTAAATAATGAATCCTCCTGGTACTTTTGTCACAAACTATTTCACTTCTGATACTGATAGGTATAGCTGAAGTAATAATAAAAACTTCAAACTTCATTCAAAATTAAAGCTTCTGCACTCAGCTAATCAGCTACACAACAGAAGGCAGGCTTGCAGTATAAGGAATGGCTTGGATAGATACTCTCCTACTTTCCCAACTTGTCTTTCTACATCTTCACAATTGTTAACTTGCACTGTTCCTGACCATCCAGGATTCAGGAGGAGAGGTGAGGCACAGGAGCGCTGCTGCATGCTTGTATTTGTAAGGTGCCATCATTGCTCTCTGTTTGGCAGGTGTCATAGCTGAGCCTTGCTCTTTTTCCCTGCCAGGGGGTTTCAGTTCCTGGGAGGACTCTTCACCCCATTTACTCATTTCCCCCACTCCTTGGTAGTTGTCTCTCAGCTACACCTGACTGGGATTTGGGTTTCAGGAGTCCATATGTTCAGTCTCACTGTTGGGATCAACTGCCTTTAGGCAGCCCTTTTGAATAAAGTCATTTAAGTTTACTTCAGGTTAGCTTTCAGCCACATATGTGTGGTTCACACCTTCTCCATGTATTTTTGGCCCATTTTCAGATATAATTTGTTACTTAAAAATACATATTTTTATGCTGTTGTCACAACTTATACTTTTCAATGTATACAGATCTGTTTTAATTAATAAAATTAAAATGAAGTTTAAAGCATCAGAGTCATAGTTAATTTGAAATCATGAATGCTGATCATTAAAAAAAAATCTATGAAGTGTGGTGAGCACATCTACTGATTATTAGAACATTGCAGATTGTTAAAATAGGCCAATATCCTTCTCCTTCAGAAAAAACAAACAAGCAAACAAACAAACAAACACAAAGAATCAACTGAGCAAGTTGTCACTCAACAGGGGCAGAGCAGAGCAAAGCCTTATGTGATCTAGTGTGGGATCTCATGTCAAACATATGTGGGTTTGAGTTCAATCTCCACAATGTATTAATCGACAAAGTTGACTGAGTTTAACAAGGCAGTAATATCAGATTCTTCTTCTATAAAATGGGAATAGCTATAGCAATTATATTAAGATGATTAAATAAAAATACAATACATAATAGTGTTTATCGCATTGTAGGTCCTTAATAATTGTTTATCTTGCCTTCTAACACTGGTCAAATTATTGTGTACTTTTTTTCCCATTTGGAAAACATGTTTTTTTTTTTGTCTAAAGTTTTACATGTCTCCTTTCCCCAGCCCCCTATTGACCATCCCCTTCCACTCCCCCTGCCCGCCCCCACCATTCCCACCCAGGGCAAGCCCCCACTGCCCCAGTGTCTGTGTCCATTGGTTATGCTAATATGCATGCATACAAGTTCTTTGGTTGCTCTCTAACCGCCCCCCCCCCCCCCCCGCCATTTGTCTCTGGGTCTTTTTTCGTTCATCAAATTATGTTGGTCATTATATCCCACATATGAGTGAGATCATGTGATATTGCTGTGTCCTTTTTTATTATATCACAGTTGTTTACTTTCTTTTCTATTATTTCTGAAATAAAAACTACACATGTAATATATATGTGTAAATATTTTTTACACTATTTTCAGGTCACTATAGCAATGCAATAGTGAGCAAGTGTGTATATGATGTATTATAATAGGAATCTTTGTCTTATTATACCACATAATACAAACTTTAAAATATCAAACTATATTTTTCTAGATAAAGTGAATAAACCAGTAAAAATAAGTTTCTATTTCTATTGAATTAATCTTTGGGATTAGTAAACCAAGTAGAGAAGCTCTGGTTTTCAATGTAATAGGGGAGAGACAAGCCATTAGAAAAGAAGTCCTCTATGATATGCTGTGAGAAAACTCTTAAGAATTTGAATACATACTCATAGTGCTTTTGTAATGAAAATCCTGATTATTTTTATGTTCCTAACTCCTCATCTTTTTCAAACAACTTATCCATGTTGGTAGCCAAATGATAGTCAAGCCATTGCTAAATGAAATGGCTAGTATTGCCTCTGTAGCTACTGTATTTATCCAAAGAGAACACATTAGCATTGTACCTAAGTAAATAGAATCACTACTTCCTTGTTTTACTCCTTTCATAAATAGGCATTCAAGATTCTGGGAGTAACGAATCTTAATATGCTTTTACCACGCAGTTAAAAGCATTGGGAAGTATTAGTTGAAACCGGTTTGGCTCAGCGGTAGAGCGTCGGTCTGCAGACTGAAAGGTCCCAGGTTCTATTCCGGCCAAGGGCATGTACATTGGTTGTGGGCACATCCCCGGTAGGGGGTGTGCAAGAGGCAGCTGGTTGATGTTTCTCTCTCATCGACATTTCTAGCTCTCTATCTCTCTCTCTTCCTCTCTGTAAAAAATCAATAAAATATATTTAAAAAAAAAAAGCATTGGGAAGTATTAGAAGAAGCTTTAGTCCTGATCTTATTTTTCTATCCTAACAGATCCAAACACACTGCAAGGGTCTGTTCTATAACACCTAGATGACAGTTCTAGAAAATGTGTCCTCCAGCACCTAAGATTCTAAGATATATTATGTTTAACCATTAAATCTATTTCGTGTGCTTTGCTTCATATTAATATTATTACTTTGTAGGCCCACTTTATGTAGACAAATATTTTCCCTTTAAATGTTAATGTGTTGTTTATAATAAGCCAAGATTTATTTCTTCTTATGTACTTAATATATTATATATAAGTATATTTGAAATGTCTCTATATATTTCCTATCTCTGTCTGCTGTAAGGGCTTATCAGTAATGGCCCACTAATAGCAGTGAACAAGCCAAAGTACTGTATCCTGGTTTCTAAATATATAATTCTTCCCTGAAAGGAACAGGGTTCCATGGGGAGGAAAGACAAATTCCAGAGCTGGGGAAGAAAGAGAACAGGATAAATTTGGAATATATTTTAAATATATATCAAGAAGCAAGAAAGTATTTAAATAATCAGTAGGACATGTGAAAGGGACAAGTGAAGCATCTTGAAGGAGCCTCTGCAGAAAAAATCTGGGACAATTTGAACATTAAAATAAATAAAAAAATAATAGTAGTAAATTTTAACCCAATGATTAAATAACAACCTAGGTTTCCCTACTGATTCAAAGTTTTAAAACAGTATCTTCGATTAAATGTAAAGTGTGTGCATTTATTCATTAGTTTAATTCATTCAGTGTATTTGCACCATGTAGTTTTCCCACCAATGACTTCAAGGACAAACTGTAGGGTAAGATCCTCTCCCTGAGTACATACAGGTGAGGCTTAGAACAAATGCCAATCACTTACACAGTTATCCCCTTAG